GTCTGTGTGTGGTGGTTCTTGAAGCACTCACTCCAGCTGCAGTCCACTCTTTGTGAATCTCCCCCACATTTTTGAACATGATGTTTGTGTGTAATGTATGAATATAATATACAAGTTTCACTTTTTAAATGGAATTACTGAAATAAATCTACTTTTTCATGATATTCTAATTTTATGACCAGCACCTGTAGTTGGTTTGACAGTTTTATACTGCAGAAAGGACAGGGTTTCAGTCACATGGTTTTGATGCCACATTTCAAATGGAGGACAGTAAGTAAAACATCTATGGAAGAACATGTTGCTGGGTTTGTACTGCACGGATTTAGATCCATTTTCATGACAGATACCAGCAATTAGTTCACAAAAACGTTGGATGTGACTAGGGATGGGCATAATCGTATCATGTGTAATCAATCATCAGAAAAACATTAATGGATTATTTTTTGGCACTTTAAGATTAATACGATTAATTCCACCAGTTAGTCCGCTCGGTGCTCCTCTCCTCTTCAAACATGACAAACATAAAAAAAGTTCTGTAATTTATTTATCTATCAACACAATTTTCAATTTGATATATAGCCTGAAGTCTGTAATTTTGACACAATTTGGAACAAATTTTTATAAAGACCAAATCTTTCCCACTAAATTGGTCATGTGACTAGGAGGGTGTCCAGGGACTCCAGGGGTTAATCATCAAATTAATCATTATCGGCTAAACATCACAGTTAATCGTGATTAATTATTTTGCCAACATTGCCCAACCCTAGATGTGACCCAGATCTCATGAAGAGGGAGTTTTCAACAGAACCTAAACATTTGGGAACGATGGAGGCTGTCGATGTGACAAACTGTCTGCTCCTGCACCAAACAGCCTGTAGGACTTTTTGTCAGCAGGTGGGTCCACAAAGTCAGTACCAAACAGCTCCACGACGATTATAGTTTGGTCCTCACCAGGGTGAGTGCTTCTTCTTATATTTTTTTACATGTGAAGATGCTAGCGGTTGCTGCTAACATCAACAAACGTGCAATGCCTAGCAAGATATAATGCTAGGGCAGCCTAAACTGTCCATAAAAAACTACTAGTAAGTTAATAATCACTACTAAATAAATGAACATTTTATGACAACCTGTTTTATAAACACAAGCTATCTGATTTTGTTTTGAGAATATGTTTGGCCTGAAATTTGTTCTTATTTTGTGAAGTTTTACTGTAGATTCTTTCACTTGATTTGAGACGATTCAGACTATAATCTAATATTGATTCTTTTCTTTTTAGGTGGCTGATTTTGCAGTGTAGCTCATTGTTACATTCAGTTGTGTGAAGTTTTAATGCAGATTCAGTCATAGAAAAATAAAAATTAAAAAAAGGAAAACAATATGGAAAGAAAACATGTCATATAAATCCAAACCTGTGAGCTCAGACGTGATGGAGCTGTTCTCTCATCTTGGCTGCGATCCTCTCTCTCCTCTCACAGTGCTTCTTCAGGTCTTTGACCTCGTTAGGCAGCGTGCTGTTCCACAACATCAGCACCGACTCTTCATCTGAGAGCCCACACACACACACACACACACACACACACACATGGGTGTTCTGCAGAGGAAGACACGCTGCGAGGCGACTGTTTTCCTAAAGGACAACCGAGGACACCTCAGACTCACCGTTGTGCTTCCTGTCTCGTGGGAGTCTCCGGCCCAGAACCAGCACTTCGCTCTTCCAGTTCAGTGTCTCTGATTGTGAGAAAGCAACAAACGTTAACGCTCAAACAAACAAATAAAAAAAACACACACACACACACACACACACAGACGGTGCGCAGCACGTCCAGTCGTCTGACGTGCCGAGGGACCCTGAATCTAAAACCAAACAAAAACCCAGCTGTTTCAATTATCTTTATTTTCTCTGCTTTTTTTTCTGTTTTTTTTTTTTAATCCGTTCTCACACTCTCACTGCTGGAAACAACACAGGATATGAGCTGTTATTGTGGTTCACGGTGTGAAACACTGCCACACTCATAGATATGGTGTTAGAATAAAACAATGGCAGGAAATGATTAAATATTAAATTTATAAAAGTTAAAACAACAACACACTAAAGAATATGTTTACAATACTTGCAAGTGATCTGTCTGTCAGGAGGAAGGGAGGTTAATAATTCCTTTTTGTGTGTATTCACATGTTAAACCAAGTGCTGCTGAGTGATTACAGAGGAACTGGTTTTAAAACCAGTAAAGGTGAAGGACCTACGTATTAATGCAGAGCTGATGGAGCGGACAGAATCACACCCGAGCACTATGACCTGCAGAGGCTGGTGCTTGGAGAGCTCCAGCAGCAGCAGGTGGCCCCCTCTAGTGCCGACCCAGAGAGCTGCAGCGCTCTGCACCAGCAGGGCCTTCACTGTGGCCCAGGACAGGGGGGTCTCGGGGGGCAGCTCCGCTCTGCCACCTCGTGCGGGTCTGCAGCCCGAAGCGTCCCTGTGAGGAGAGGACAACGTTACCTGAAACTACGAGGTCAAAAACTAACAAAAGAGCTGAGTTTGTTAAAGTACAGCTGTGTGTGTGTGTGTGTGTGTGTGTGTGTGTGTGTGTGTGTGTGTGTG